GCGCAACATCTCTAAAATTAGAAATATCCTGTCTCAGAGTGACGCTGAAAAACTAGTTCATGCATTTATTACTTCCAGGCTGGACGACTGTAATTCATTATTATCAGGATGTCCAAAAAACTCACTGAAAAGCCTTCAGCTGATCCAAAATGCTGCAGCAAGAGTCCTGACAGGGACTAGAAAGAGAGAGCAGATTTCTGCCCTACAGTTGACCCCTGGTATTTGCGGGGTTAGGGACCACAACGGCCCGCGAGTAGCTGAAATCCATCCTTTTTCACTCGCTATTGAATTTGATCATTAGTTATACATTTTAGAATTTGGTTTGGTGTGTGGCAGCACGGTGGCACGGTGGTTACCACTGTTGCCTCACAGCAAGAAGGTCCTGAGTTCAGTTCCATCATCAGCCCGGGAACTTTCTGTGTGGAATTTGTATGTTCTCCCCGTGTTTGCGTGGGTTCCCTCCGGGTACTCTGGCTTCCTCCCACTGTCCAAAGACATGCACCTTGTGGGGATAGGTTAATTGAATAATCCAAATTGCCACTAGGTGTGAGTGCGGATGGTTGTCTGTCCCTGTGTTTTGGCCCTGCAACAGACTGTTGACCTGTCCAGGGTGTACCCCGCCTCTCGCCCTATGACAGCTGGGATAGGCTCCAGCGCCCCCTGCGACCCTGATAAGCGAATGGATGGATGGCTTGGTGTGTGTTTTTTGTCCAGTTGCCTCTGCTTTCTTTTCCCTCCCCTGACTCCCGAGTCTGTCCATATGGTCGTCGTCTGATGGGGTTTCTCTCTAATATTGTAGGTGCTACATAAATGAAATTGAATTGAACTGAATTCAATCCAAATGCTGATGAAATTAATTTTAGGCTTCAGGCCTCTGACTTTAAACTGTCCATTTGTCCTAACTCATCCTTGCAGATGTGTGGAGGACAGAGATGTGAAATCCCAGAGGCAACTTTTCTATATCAAAGCAGTGACCCTGAAGGAGGCAGAGGACAAGGGGAAAGAGCAGAGCAACACCAAACAAAACGAGCCCTGTACGAGCGGACAAGAAGAGGAGGAGCTCAATCTGGACTCCCATGTGGTGATTCGCTATCACAGAGGCCCAGTCTTAATAGGACAGCCAACCAGAGTCTCAGTGAATCTGAGAGCTAATGTCAGTGGTCATTTTGCAGCCATTAGGTAATTAAAAAGAACATTTGTGCAGCTCTTTGTTCATGTCCACAGCTGCTGTCAATAGCCACTCTTTGTGTCTTCAGGATGAAGGTGAAGAAGGGCCTGGTGTCAATAGTGGCCCAGAGAACTTTGACCTCTGACATGTGGACAGTGACCCTGGAAAGAACCCAAGCCTCCAAACACGATGTGTTGTCCATCCTCTGCCACAGACAGAGAAAACTTAAGCAGCCACATGAGTAAGTTCAGCAACACCTTTTTCCAACATGTTAATAGAATATTAAAGTCAGCCATCTTTAAGGAGACGTATGCAATGACTTTACTGCAGTTTCTATAAAGTGAGGTTGGGGTGCACCCTGGAGGGGTTTCCAGTCTGTTGCAGGGCTAGTACAGAGAACGGCAGCTGGATAGTGTAGTGGAACAACTACACACCTTTGGAATGGAAGTCCCAAGTTCAATTCCCTCCCAGTATCCAGTAAGGGTCCTGGCTAGGCCCCCCCATGCCGAAACACCAAGCCCTGCAATGGCGCAGCTATGTCCGCAGCTTGGACACGACACATTTCGCTGTGTGGTTGTGTATGTGACTAATAAAGCTCATTTCTTCTTTCTTTGAATGTGATCTTTGTCTGCCTGCAGTCCCACTCTCCTCCAGCAGGTGGCATGTTTGTCAGTCGACGGCTTGAGGCGCAGCTTCGGTGTTGCCATGATGGTGCCTGCTAATTGGTGGGTGGAGTACTCCAGACGTACTACCGTCCCGCCATCACATGTTGGAGCAGTGAGCATCTTTTCATTCACAGATCGTCACATCTTTGGCATTGCACCTATAACAGAGGTACGTAATTCTTTTAAAGTCCATCAGATGCCCATCACATGTCATCTGATTGCTCTGAAGGTGTGTTTCCTGTTGGTCTGTCCACAGAGTAACACGTTGATCAACACAGCTATACTGAACAACCAGCCCGTGCTGCTGCCCGTCATTGTGCTGGCTGTAAGCCATGACGAGAAGGTGTCAGATGTTACCTCTGCAGTCACATGTCACTCCATCAATGAGAATAGTATCAAGGTGCAACATGTCTCACAACATGTCTCACAACATGTCTCACAACATGTCTCACAACATGTCTCACAACATGTCTCACAACACACATTTCGCAATTTCATGAGCAGTCTGGTTCTGCTGGAGGTTTCTTCCTGTTAAAAGAGAGTTTTTCCTCAACAATGTCACCAAAGCGCTTGCCCAGAGCTGGTCGTATGATTGTTGGGGTTTTCTGTGTTGTATTATTGTTGGGCAGGGTCTCAAACTTGCGGCCTGGGGGCCACTTGTGGACCACGTCAAGTCAATATGAGCAGAGAGTACAAACATGCTGAGGACTGTGTCAGTTCAGTGAGAGTCACAAACTAATGTGTACGCTCATGTCTGCATTTTATTTTGTTAAATATGAACATAAGGACAGCAGAAGTGCTACCACGTATGTGGGCAGACAGAGAGGACCAATGTGTTTGTTTGGTAGATCAATGAAAGGATTCAGTTAGTTAAGAGGGAGTTTGCATTTTATCTTGTTATACAATATTTGAAAAAACGCAAAGAAGCAAAACATTTTCAGTATTATTTGTTTGTGTTTTCTTGTTTGTTTGTTTTGTACTCCTTGAACACTAAAGTGTCCTCCAATGAGACGACAGTGCCAGCAGTGGCCCACAGCTCATTTCAGTTTGTAGGGTCACCTTACAATTATCGCACCCGGAGGCAACTGTTTAAGTTTTATATAATTCATTTTAAATTCCATTTTTAGTTAACCAAAACAACTGCACTACCTCAGTGCTTAAAGTAAAAGTCAAAAACAGTTAAACAACATCTTGGAGTCTTTTTCAGTGGCTCAGTTTTGCCAGGTTATCGTAGAGACGGCTCGATTGCTGTCGCTTGACATTCAAATTTGACCTGCACCTGGTTCATCTTAAATTTAGTTTGTGCTGTTGACTAGGTCCAAAGTCAAGACTAAACTTCAGTGTTTCTAAACCTCTCTGGGTAAATGGACCTTACAGTATACAGGGCCTTTCTCCTTCATTTGAACACTCAGAGCAATTCAAGCCTCATTCAGCCAGTCACACACATTCACACAGCACTTTTATTTATGCCTAAGCTTTATTGTTTGGCAAGGTGGAGTACACAACTGATTAAAAACAGCTCACCCAAAATGAAACATGCATGTTTATCCATTTTTATCATTTCAGTGATATTTTCCCAGGTTTGTAATGTTGGCTTTAGAGATGTCTGAATATAACAGAATTCAACTCCACTCTGAGCGTAACGTGCCTTTTCAAAAATCACAAACCAAACATTATCATCCATCTACCAAACTGTGTTTAGAGAGGTTTAGCACAAATCTGAAAAGCACGTGAGACAGCTAATTGAACTTTAATGCCAAAAGGAAACCAGTGCAATTACTTTAAACTGTATAGATGAAACAAATATCATATTTTGTATGTGTCTCTTCCATACAGGTTTCCAGTGATTGCTCTACCCTCTACGTTGATGGCAGTGAATCAGGATTAGGGTCGACCTGTGCAGTGGTGGAGTTTCATCTGGGCATGCTCAGTGGGTCTGTGTGTCTGGAGGTTTGGGCTCCCTCTGTGCCCCTACATGTCTCCTTGGCAGACCCTACTCTCAATGTCATTGATGGATGGAACCTGATCACAGAGAAAGGGTAAAAACTAGGCCCGCTGTGTCTTCAGTCTGTTTTAACTTGTTGTACTATAGTTCATTGTATCTGTGTTTATCTCCTCTCTCCTCTGGAGATGTAACCATTTCCTTAACCCCTTAGCAGTCCTATTAGTCCCCTAAACCATCCAATGTCCCGTGGGCGGTACGTCCGACTGCTAACAGTTTAAAGGCCTGTTGAACTACACTGACTCTTCTACTGCTTGGTTCAAACTACATAATACCTAAATGAAAACAGAATGTGAAAACTGAAAAGGTTTATGTAATTAACTCATCATGACCCCACAATCATCCGGTCTAGCATCATTTTACCGGAAAGAAATACTGCGCAGTATAAAACCAGTGTATTTAATGTTTGTTATCATGGGACAAACTGCAGACCGTTCACAAGATGTTCTATGAGAATATACTACATTCATATTCTGCATGGACAAAAGTGAAAAATGTGATACATAGTAATCTCGTAAGCTTTTTACCAGAAACATGATCAAACACAGTAAGAGTATAAAAACGTTTGCTTACCAAAAAGTACCACATTGCTGTGGCCTGTGTTAAATATCCCAATTCTTTGATGTTTTGGCTGAAGGAAGAACAACACTCGGTGTGTAAATGCTCAATCAACAATCTCTTTATTCCATACAATTCTCATTATTTCATACAACACTTTGAGCATAAACGTCCAGACGGGAGATGTGGACAGGAGGGTGTCCGCCACGTCTCGAAGTGTCTGACCGTTTCTCACATTCTTATAGCTTCAGCCCCCCCCCCCAAAGTCACAAAACCTAAACATCCACATTCTTTCTCTCTCAGTGAGCCTAAGCTATGGCCTTGGCTTCCTGTTCAGTATGTTTTGTTCTTTCTAATCAGAAAAGGAAGGCCATGATTCCACACAAACAGCATTTCTTATAACTCAGCAGTATAATGCATCATAAAACAGTGTAATGATTTCACAATCTTTAATCTAAGGCATAATGTGGCCTATAGCATTAGCAAACAGGCAAATTCAGCAACTGACATCTTCTTTCATCGTCTTTCGTACTTGAGCTCGTAAGCCCACATGAATGGGAAGGGTCGCATCAGGAAGAGCATGGTGTCAAATTTTCGCGGATCACCAGAAAAAGTCAGTCGGGGCCCAGGGTAACAACAACCGCCTCCAGTACTATTTGTCAACAGGGTCCTGGTGGAAACTGTTGGCCAAAGACAAAAGAAGAGAAGAGAGGGAAGGCGGGAGTGTGGAGATGAGAGTAGGGATGCTGAATGTAGGGAAAGTAGGGACGAGCAGGAGACGAGGTAGGAGGAAAACAAGAAGAATCGGAGATGGATTCAAGCTGTTGATGAGGAAGGTGCACACAGATGGACCACATCTCTGAAGAAGGTACAATCTGAAGTTTGGGCACTTTGTTGCTCTGAAGCATTCATGTACATGTTAACAATGCCACAATCTTCCTAGGAGTACAAATTCTAGGACCCAAAGGTCAAAGCATGCAGTGTTCAGAGAAACAAACAAAGAAAAAACAACAGCTACATCTCAGACAGCTTCTCTTTTCTGGAAGTGCCTCCTCTGAACTGAACATGATGACACAGATTTACAGAGTGCCATCTGAACAAACTAGAAGACCAGAACGATGTGTGGCCTTAATGCACAACAGCATGTTTGGAGAAAGCATATCAACACAACACTGCACAACAACTGCCAAGCACAGGGGGGCATGATATGGCCTTGTTGAGTCAAAAGTTCAGCCATCTGTCCAACAGCTAAAGCTTGGCCAAAACTGGGTCATGCAACGGGATGATTATGAAAAATATATGTTTCACAGTTTGTATATTTTTAAAAAATCCTCATTCAGGTCAATGAGAGAGAGGCAGAGTGTGGGAGGAGCAGAAAAATTGCACTGAAATCTTTTCAACCTGCCAGTAATCCAATAATTACGACCACACAACCATCATTTTACACTCAGGTCAAAGCTGATTTCTCTTCTTTCAAGCAAGGTCTTCCTCAGATCCAGCAGATGAATAGTTTTTGGAGGCATATGAGTGAGTGGTCAGAGGTTTACAGACACTCATCAAACATGACTTTATTTACACTGCCAGTCAAAGTCTGGACACACTGAGATAAGATAAGACAAGACAAGACAAGACAAGACAAGACAAGACAAGACAAGACAAGATAAGATAACTCTTTATTGTCATTGCACAGTTATACATAGCACAATAGTACAATGAAATTGGAAAACTGTCCCATGTCGGCAAACACAACACAACACGACACAGTAACTTGACTTAAGTAATAAAAAGAAGAAGAAGTGTATGTTTATTGCACATTGTTATTATTGCATCTTGTTATAAATATAAATATCATTATTGTTATTGTTGTTACTGTTGTTACCCCCCCCACAAAAAACACCAATCTGACAGCCTCTGAACCTCAGCTCTGTACGCTGCCTCGTCTCCCCCTGAGATGAGCCCCACCACGATGGTATCATCTGTGAACTTAATGACTGCGTTGTCTGGGTGGGTACTAACACAGTCATGTGTAGAGTGTAGTGTGTACACTCTACTGACTATTTACATTTTAGATTCTCGCTGAAGCGATCAAAATTATGAATGAACATATATCGAGTTATGTAGTAAAGATGTTTTATATTCTACATTCCTCCTAATATCCGCCCTTTGCTTTGATTACTGCTTTGCACACTCTTGGCCTTCTCTCCATGAGCTTCATGAGGTCGTCTCCTGAAATGGTTTCCAACAGTCTCGAAGGAGTTCCCAGAGATGCTGAGCACCTGTTGGCCCTTTTGCCTTCACTCTGCGCTCCATCCCAAACCATCTCCATTGGGTTTAGGTCAGGTGCATCAGGTGAAGCACTCCATCACTCGCCCTCACACAGCCTGGAAGTGTGTTTGGGGTCATTGTGCTGTCCTGGCGTGTTGCTGCAGGATGCTGTGGTAGCCATGATGGTTCAGTGTGGCTTCAGTTTTGAATAAATCCCCAACAGTGTCACCATCACATCTCCTCCTCCATGCTTCACAGTGGGAACCATGCATGTGGAGACCATCCGTTCACCTTCTACGTTCAAGACACGGCAGGTGGAACCAAAGATCTCAGATCTGTACTCACCAGACCAAGGCACAGATTTCCACTGGTCTAATGTCCACTCTTTGTGTTTCTGGGCCCAAACAAATCTCTTCTTGTTGCTTTTCCTTAGTTGTAGTTTCTTAGCTCTGTTTGACCATAAAGGCCTGATTCACACAGTCTGCTCTGAACAGTTGATGCAGAGATGTGTCTGTTACAGGAACTCTGTGTGGCATTGATCTGGGCTCTAATCTGAGGTGCTGCTAACCAAGGTTGTTGTTATCATTGTTTTTAATTATTGTATAATTAAAAACAATATACAAAAAACAATAATAAGTTCAGTGGGAGCATGAATGTTAATGTAATTTGGGGCTTTTAATAAATCCCCCCCACCAAAAGAAAAAATGGACTACATTATTGTGCCTCAGAGCTCCTGACGAGACGTAATTTGAGAAGGAGAATGTGTTGCCATTAAAATATCAGTGTTGTCATCAGCAACATTTGGATGGAAAACATGCTTCTCTCTTTCTTTCAGAGTAAACTTGCACACAAATTTCTCCAACATGCAGACACAGATACGTCAGGATCTTTAATCCCTCGTGTGTTTTCTTCTTGCTCAGGTGTGTGCCGGTGTATCAGCGCTCCTCAGTCCAGGTTCTGACCCAGTTCACAGCTCTGGACTCCCACAGCAGAACCACACACCACCTGGGTTCCTCAGATTGGTTTGTAGATGTGACTGAGCTGGTCAGTAACTGGCTGAGAGTAGAAGACCCCCGAGTGGCTTCCCTCAGGCCCCAAAACATCGTGATAGGATTAAGACCTGGAAAGACATCACTGCATGTAGGCGACAGTTGTGCATGAGTTAACTTCTATTGTTTCACTTCTTGAGCATCTCCTCTCACTCTCACCTTCATCCTTAGGTTATCTCGGAGCAGTGGGATGGCATGTTGGGCACATGTGACATCACTGTGTCCTCTGACACTGTCAGCGCTGGCGATCTGTCTGTACAAGCGGTCAGTGGCCTGGGAATGTCAGTGAAGTCCAGCCCTGCCCACCCCTCCATCATCACAGCAACAGTGACAGCCTACAACACCATGTACCACTATCACCAGGTGACAAACACTCGTTTCACTCCACTTCCTGAAGTCTCATTAATCCACTGAGCTGAGATAAATTTGCCCTGTTTTCCCTGTAGGAGGCCTCCGTCAGTGTCTGGCTGCAGTTCAGTGACGACACTGCCTCCCTCCTCTCCTCTTTCAGTGACCTTCCCTTCTCCCTGCGTCTCTCCTCACTGGCTGAGAGTGTTATTATGGTGACACCCAGTTCCAATCAACGCGTCTTTGCTCAGGGTGACGGAGGTGGGCCTTTACTGCGAGCAGAGCTTCTGGTTTCTACGTGCGCCGATCAGCTGATTGTCTCAAACTCTTTTGATGAAGAGAACGAGGAGCGGCAGGCTTCTACAAGACGAGAAGGGACCCGCAGGCTGGCGAGGGGATCAGGCTGGATAAGGGTCAACTTAGACCTAGACTTCATGCAGCCAGTAGCCAAGAAGAGCGAGGATGGTGTGGAGTTTGAGTTTGACATTTCAGACACACTGGTTGAATCGCACGGTGACATTTACTCATCAAACAAAGATGAAAGTTGGAACGTGAGCACCAGCAGTAACTACTATGAGAAAGTAAGTCAGACCATGACTAACAGAAGGTGGAATGAGGTGGACAAAGGAGGCATGGTCAGTCGAAACACTCTAGAAAGAGCAGTGCTGATGCCGAGCCTGGACGAGGGCAAGGTGTACTTCTTTCCGAGCCAGGATAAAGGAGGAGCAGAGGAAGACAAGCAGGGAACTCATGAGTTGGAACTTGGCGTGGGTGCTGTCCTCTCTCTGCTCTGTCTCTTTGCTGTCCTCTTTCTGGCTAACTGTCTGCCCTCCACCCTGCGACACAGGTCGAGGAGGACAAAAGAGAGAATGGAAGGAGAACTGGAGGCAGGTGCGACGGAAGATGGAGAGGAGATGGAAAGGGAAAAGGCCAAGGACTGGAAGACATAGAAGATGAAGAACAAAGAGCTAAACAGAGAACAATGGAGAGAGTTTTAAAGAAGTAGCAGCTGATACTGACACCTTCTCTTTGCTAGACTCATATCAGGATTTAATGAACCGAAACTCAAACTGTTCTATTCAAACACTTTAAAGGTTTAATTCAACCAGTTTGAGCATGAGCTGAGCTTTAATTTGAGAAAAACAATTTTTACTTTCTTTTAGTTTCACCAACCAACAGGTTGATGCTCATCTACATGACTTTTGTCCCCCTACCCTGACCCCTTTAACCTTTAAGTGCACATGATATCTGAGTAAGGTAGGTGAGCAAAGCAGCTTTTCAAAATGTATCTAAGTGTGTATAATTTAGCTTTGTAGAACCACTTCTTATTGTTAATCCCCTTCCCCCTGTAGTAGGCACATTGTGGAGACATTAGGTTTGATCTTAGTAGGCCAGATCTTTGAAAGGCAGCCATTGTGTGAAACAGGCAGAATAAAGACTTTCTATTAAAACAAATGACACGTTTAATGCTAAACGTGGTGCTGTCATTTTTGTCAGTCGTTACTTATGGTTTCATTGTCATGTCTAAATTAAAGTTTGTTTTAAGAGTCTTTTTGCTTTTCAAAGCACTCCTCGTACTGAGTGGTACTGAGAAAGGTTATCTGAGCTGGAGCTGCTTACCTCTGCAGCTCAGAGTATGCTGGAGGTGGACTTGGGTGTAATGATCAGTGACTTAGGCTACGTCCACACGCACACACGTATTTTTGAAAACGTTTTTGGTTTTGGTTTTCAAATCCCGTCCACACGTGCAGTTTTGGAAAAATATCTCTGTCCACATGTAAACGTTAAAAATGAACTGTTGGCCAATCAGAAGTCCAGGAGCCTGGGAGGGACTAAACAGGGTTTTGTGCTCATAAAACCTGAAGTACTTTCTGTAAAGGCAGCTAATTTTGTTCTAGTTTTCAAGTGCCTTCATCATTTCAAATGTTAATAACTAAAGACAGTATTTTCATTGTTGTGTAGACTCACAACTCAGGAATGAACTAATGCATACAGCATACATAAATGTAATTGATTCAACACTGACGTCTGGATTTAGGTTGTGACAGCGTCTGTGTTGAAGGAAGAAGCCACGTCCAAAGTGGCGTCTGACGCATCTGTCTTTGTAAATGGAGGGACACTAACTGAGTGTGAGTGTGTACAAACTGCAGACAGACAGATTAACAGCAGCAGTTTCTTGTCTCTATCCGCCATTGTAGAAATGTATCTCATGTAAACAATAACATGGCGCACAGCGTGATGTGAAAAACGGCGCACACCTTTGCTGTTGCGAGACTAAATCTCCACACGTAAAAAACACAAAGACTGAGTTTTCGAAAATATCCCTGGCAGGAGTTTTAAAAATCTCTGCTTTCAGTGACCCAAAAGGCTGTTTTCAAAAATCCCAGCGGACGTGTGGACGTAGCCTTAAAGGCCGCTGAAAAAGCACCATGATGAGTCAGACGTTCAGACAGGAGCCACAGGATGATGGAGAGTGCACTTGCTGCTGGAGCATAGCATGTTTGTTCTGCAGTGGATTTGAGAGCTCAGTAAGTAAACACTGTGTGTTGTGGACTCTTGCAATACTTGTTTCAGAGGTTAAAAAGAAAAAAACATGGGTATTGCTTTTTCATTAATCTTTGCATGGAGACCATCTGTTAGATTTCTCAACCACTTATCCAGTTTGGAGGTCACAGTGCACCCTGAGTAGGATGCCAGTCCATCAACTCAAACCATAACAATACAGGTCATGAGCATGGAGCTGCTGAGTGAGCCAGAATTTGACTGAAACCATTTGTCCGGACTCATTGTGGAGCAGAGTGGTGCAGTGCAAGTGTCCTGGACTTGTAACCATCCTCGGCTATTTGTTTTCCTAAAAGTCTGTAGACATTTCACAACTTGTGAAATGTGTTTCATTAAAACACTGAAATTCTCTGGCTTCTGTGATGTTGACTGGCTGTTGCATATAGAGTGTATGTGTGTGTGTGTGTGTGTGTGTGTGTGTGTGTGTGTGTGTGTGTGTGTGTGTGTGTGTGTGTG